GTAGCAGAGTGAATCCAGCAATCCAGAGAGGCAGATAATATAACTCACGGTATACAGGGGCAAGGCAGCAGTGTAGTCAAGAGTCCAATCCAAAAGTCTGATATTACTCACAGTCTTTCAGACTGGGCTGAGATGTAGTAAAGATTCAAATCCAAAAAGGCCTGGTTCGATTTCATGAGGGCACAACTGCTACATGTACAGAATGGCTAGAGTCAATCACACAGTCAGGACAATATGGCAGCTTTTCTGAGGAATGAAGCTGCTTATAAGAGCATATGCACAGGTGTGATCAGTCGGCACAGGTGAGGATGATTGGTGTGATGAAGTAAAGTGACCAGGACTGAGAGTAGGGTGGAAGGAAGTGTCAGGTAAAAAATAAGAGATGGTTACCAGATGTGGAGCTGGAGTTCATGACACATAATGCTGATCCAGTAATGGGCACAGTGGGTGGTACCTGCTCGTCCTCTCTCATCTCCATCACCTTTTCTCTTACTTTTTTTTCGCGCTCTCCTCATCTTGTTTCATGTCTGTTCTCTTCCCAAAGCTGAGCTTTGATTGATGTCTTTTCATTTCCCTCTGTGTCAGTGAAAAAAGTAAACACACTGTCAAATTATATTTATATGCAAATGTTACAGACCTGCACTCAGATAGACTTACAATGACAACAAAATATATAGGACAGTGGTGGAAGAAGTACTCAGATTCTTGATCTAATAGTACAGTGCAAAAATAGTGCTATAAGAAAAAGTCCTGAATGTTATTTAAAATGCTAATTTCACTTAAGTACCAAAGTATTAGCACCAAGATCCGACTTAAAGTACCAAAAGAGTTTCATAATGCTGAATTGTACATTTCACATGGGCTAAAAGGGCTGGCTTATAATTATTGATGCATTATTGTGCTCATCCCTTTAATGTTGCAGCTAGTAATGGCGGATCTAATTTTAACTACCTTAATTTGAATTAGCTTAGTAACTTGTATAAATCACACTTGGGATCAGTAAAATCTTATAATTATAAAGTTTGTTTTTTATTTGTCTGATTCTGAAAAGGAACTAATGTCATCAAATAAATGTAGTGCAGTTAAAAGTATAATATTTGCCCTTGAAATGTAGTGAATGATGGATGACGCAGCAGAGAATAAAACTAACTAGCCGGCGCAGCATCACAATGGGCAGCCGCTGTTTAATGTAGTGTGACCACACAGGAGCTGTTTCAGATGAAGTCTGGGGATGAATGGCACTGAAACAGTGGTACCAGTGGTAAAATTCTCTAGTTACCCATTTCATGTTTAGCAGATTCAGCTCCCTGTCTGGTTTGTTGATATAATCAAAGAACCAAGTAAAGATTTTATAGTAACAACGGGATCATTCACTCCACTGACAGTAAAGCAATGACAGGGATCATGTGAGACGCTTAGTGTTGTACAATATCTTTGCAACAACAAAGCAGTTATTTCTTCAAATTTTATTATATACAACTCAGAAGAAAATACAGAGGTGTGGACCTCGGTGACCTCAGAGGTGGGTACATCTATGATCCCAACTATCACAGCTGGGATGACTGGGATGTGGAAGGTAACTGGAAAACCCAGAAAAACAAACTACATCAGCACCATGGAGTACATGAAAACGACACACAGAAAAGGCCCAGTCAGGTCCAATTTTAAAACTGTCTGGCTGTGAAGTGACAAGAATAAACACTGAGCCACAGTCTCTTTTGTTATCCTTATTGGAGACTTTAGAGTAACCGAGAATCTAAATCTGTGAAGGTTAGAGCAGTTTATCTTTGATAAGATACTGAGAGCAAAACTTTTAGAAACAGACAAATTGTTGTGGACATATCTAAATGGTACAATGTATGGATGGAAGAGTAAAGTTTTTTTATGTCAAGGTTCTAAAAAGGTTAAAATAGTAATATTTTTCAGTGGTGCAGATGCATGTTGGGCAGGAGCAGAGATGAACTCTGATGCTGTACAGTCCTTTTGTAAAGAAGTATGAAATGGAAGAAAAACACTCTCCCCTCTCACCTGCACACATACTGTACGTATATTGGCAGGGCCACATATGCTGTGTTTCGTTATAGGGATGTACAGGTCATGAAACCAGCTGATACTGTATACAGTAATACATTCTACCCACTCTCTGCTAATAACACTACATCATGTACAATCATGATGACTGTGGCACTTTAACATATTTTGTTGGCAATTAACAAACCCTACTTTGACAACACAGTTTAGAAAAGCTCAATTAACAGAAGGGAGACAGCAGAGAGTCATGGAGGGCAGGACAGTGAACACATCCTGTTTCATTTTCACTTGATTTAGCAGACAATGTGTCAAAGCTTAATTAATGCATCTTTAAAGGTTTGCTTGTCTTGTTATGCCCTGGATAGCCCTGCTGTTGTTTTTGTTCAACATCTAGCTGGAGCTGGCAGCTTTATTTCACGACATACTGTAGGCTATGCAATAAAGCACCGGGACTTAATTAGGCAGGCTGTTAATGGAAACTCTTTAAAAGATCAGGTGGACATTAATAATAAAAGGGGATCTAAATGTCACCGATACTGACACCATTTCTTCATTTTCAGTGCCTTTCACCACCTTCAGCACCTTTTTTGTTGGAAATGCAGCTGTGCTGTCCCTCCCTCCCATCTCCTGACTCCCCCCCACTGCAGCTGCATAAACAGACAATGGCATTTGTGACACAAGACAGCTCGCCTCTTGACATTCCCTTTTTTATTTTATGCCTAATGATTTTGCTTGTGATATGAATGTTGAGTCATCATCAGATACTCCAAGTCATTAGTATGAATGTCCTGATCATTAGGGTGGATCTTTGAACTACAAGCTGACGCGAGTCAGGGCCCATCGTGGGTAAGTCCACTGGGCTCAGAGACGGCTTCTTTCATGCCCTCTGGTTGGTAGTTTCTGATGGGGTGGCAACTACTTTGCCTTTGGATGGGGTTTTGAGGTTTTGTGTCTTACAGTGCGAGCCAGACAGACCATGGCTGGCTGACTGACAGGTAGGCCATTAGTAAGCTTGCCTGTTGCCTCAGCACCCACTGGGATACTCATGCAGTCCATCAACGCCACCTCTATCAGCACCGCCAGCCACAGACATCAGAGAGAAACCCTGTAGGTGTTTGATAAGGTGGGCAGCTACTGTAAGTATAAGCTGTGGGGTAAGCCCTGACATGTCCACATGCACACTGGAGTAAACTATAAGGCCCATCTGCTTTTGATTTCAATCCCTCATAGAGGTTAGCTGTATGGATTAAGGCAATCTTCAATCCAGCAGTCATGTTCTAGATATGGACTACCAAAGTTGTAGCTTCATTCTCAAGAAGACTTGAGACTGTTACTGCTGCCAAAGGTGCTCCAAAAACCTGTTTTTGATTTAGCATAAAAGATAATAATAATTTAACCCATTTTAAAATGAGTCAGAAACATAATAACGTGGAAAACGTGAAAACTTTCTGAATCTACTGTACCAGTCAAGAGGAGTGAGAATAAATCCATGTAAATCAAGCACAGGGGCAGCTAGTTTAGATTCATGAGGAGTTACAGTGAAAAATGTGAGTGGGTCAGTAACCTTGGCAGTGAAGTTGAGATAATGGGCCCATGATGTCAGTGATAAACAGGCAACCCTCACCTTCACCAGCATTAGTGTGTATTGGCCAATTTCACCACTCTTTCTTCTTTTATTCGCTGTTGTGTTCCTTTGGCTCATCTCTACAATGAGTTGCATCATATTAAAATATATATGCAGATATAGTGGGAATAGCTGAAAGAGAAGGCTGCCTGTATTATTATTATTATTATTCTCCACACAAACAATGGACATATAGTGCATTATTCAGTATTTCTGACCCCTCTCTAATCTCCTAACACTACTCTCTCTCTTTTTTTGCTAATACTTCACTCTTTCTTCTCTCTGCTGCCATAAAATAATTATCATCTCCACACAGTGACAAACACAAAATGACATCTACAGAGCATGTTATTGATCACTTGTTTACAAGTTGTGATCAGTGAAGCTCAAAGGCACATACCTGCAGCTAATGAATGTCTCTGGAAGGCATCAAGACTCAAAGGCCCTTTCATCATCCATTTCCACTATCCTGTCCTCTGCATTTTTTTTTTCAGCTGAATGTCACTTTTTAGCAACATCGCTTGTGTCTCCTGTCTCATGATTATTTGGCTCAGCTGGAGCTACTTTATGAGAGAAAAACCACTCATTACCCAATCTGTATTTAGAGAATTGGTGGTTCTAGTTAACATTCTACTCAGCAGATAGACAGATTTATGTATTATGTACTTTAGTGGAGTCTGCCTGGAGAGCAGTGCAATTAACCTGACAATAACAGAAAGAGCTGAAAACCAAGCCGGAACATATCCACAGCCAAAATATCATGTTGCCTGAGGTATCAGAACAAAATTATTCTGAAAATGACACGTGTGTGTTCCAGTGGAAAACATTACTTTGATTAAGTTCAGTGGCAACAATTCTTCATGTGAAGAAAGTACCGAGATTTTGTAACTAGTGTAAGGAAGCAGTAAGAACAAAGTGTAAGACACTGGAGTCCCTTGTGTGGTTGGGCTCAGGGAGAGAATGAGGTCTCAGTTATATATTAACAAAATGTTAGTGAAATCCTGTTCTGTCCTTTTTCCAGAGATGGAAGGGTGAGTCAGATGGTCCAGACTGACAGCATGGCACCAAGGTGAACCTTAATGACTTTGGTGGTCCACTGCCTTTTCTTTGAGCACCACCAGCAGATCAGACCTTTCACATAACCATTCATTTACTAGATGGATTGACACAAAACTTTGTAGACATTTACTGTTTCTGCGGTGTCCTTCTCACATCTGATCCCCTCATGTTTCATCAGGTATGGTTTTTAGTTTGTCCAGTACTTTTGTTTATGACCAAATAGCTGTAAAACTAATGGCATTCTTACAGTTACAGCAGCATCCTCATGGAGCCTGTAACATGGCTCCATGAGGATGCATGTTCTGTCTGCACATTTTGGCAGATGTGTTTATTAAAACATTTTCTAGTTGATTTATAAAAAAAATTAGAAATCAGGCTGACTTACACTTCTATAAATGTACTTTTGAAGAGATGAGGTTGTTCACCAAGATGCTGGGTAGCACACTAGCTTCCAAATTAGAATTCATGTATTGAACTACTCTTGAATATCAAATCAGGGTTTGGGCCTTCCCTTCAGCTGTTAAATTGGCCAGCTCTTGTTTAATCTGCAAGGAGGCATCTCTGTTATTGTGGATGGCGCAATCAAGGTAATTGATAAGAGGTTGCTGGTAAAGGTAACCTCCATAATTACATTGAAACTCTTCAGCTTTTTTACTGGAGCACTCTGTGGCTGTGCTGCTGTCGGTCTCCATGGCGACTGCAAGATCCTGAATTTGCAGAGGAGATGCAGAGTCGGATGTTTAACTTTCTAATAGCAGTGGATAGCATACAGTCTGAGACTCGGAGCAGCCATGTGTTTATCTGAACGCCAGTGCAAATGCACTTTGCAGTCTGATGCCAGAACAGACTATTCTGAAGCACTCTCCACTTTTAAATTGAATCATGGTCATGCAATATAGATTATTCCATTTAAGTCTAGTACTTTTCAAGAAAAGCATACTGAATCTCATTTTCTTTTGTTACCAGGAAAAGAAACCAAGAACTTTTCAGGAAAAAAAAGTCTTTGAAATTTTCTCTCAGCTTCATTTTCTTTTATTTATTTTTACCAACAATGTGAGTCGGGTTTGAAACAGCTGCTGCATTAGAAATGTTTTATACAACAGGAGCTATAAGAAGCTAAACAGTAATATGTTAACATGGCAAAAGAACTAGTAATGTGTCAGCATATTTGCCCTACACACTGTACTCTCATCAGCAGTTACACAAAAAATTAGCATCCTACACAAATGTACACATTAATATTCACGCTAGCTTTTAGTACTCTGCTTACAGTGCAAAACAGTTGAATGTCAAATAGAAAAATGCCAAACATAGTTAACAATATTAATGCACGGTAAATTACAGAGGTACAAAAATAAACATATGAAAGCTGAACAAAGGAAGAAGATTAAAGGAGCAATCAGTAATGTCAACTCTTCAGTAGCATTAATTGTAATTAGGAGGAACTCACAGCTTTTTTAAACATTCCTGAGCAACAGCCTTAGCTCTGCTACATCATCTTAGTAGCCCCCTCGTCCTTTTCTCCTCGCTGCCAAACCCCTCATAAACAGTTTCACATAGTGTAATATAAATAAATTAGCTACAGTTAAAATGTACATGACAAACAAGGACTTAATGATTAACTGCCATAAACTAGATAGCTAGATAGATAGATCTCAGCACAGCTTTCCTTGGAATTGCATTCATGTTGGACATTTCAACACAATTGATGTACAATGCTGTCACTCAGTGCCAGTGCAGGCAGTAGCGGGCCCTACAGTGGCAGCTGGGCACATAGGCCATCAGGTCTGTAGTCTGTCAGTGATGGGCAAATAATGTTTGCCTTATTCAGAACCCAGCTGTTTCCATAACTTTAACCAAGTGTTAAGCACAGACTTTCCATGGCAATTCATAGATATTGTAGACTTTGAAAACATTGGCACTGGAATTGAATGAAAAAAGAACAAGTATGTCCTGTAATATACGGGACCTGTACTGTGAAGTCAGTGTTCTAGTCTAGCCATAGGGTTGTTATGTGTAGAGGAAACACTGCCTGTGTTACATAAAGACAAATTAACCCATAAATGCAAGTTTCAGTTACACTTGCACTTCTAAGTTTTTTTGAAGAGCCTCTGGGCTAAGCTAATTCAGGAACCAGTTGCTCCGGGGACACTGGAGAATATTTGCTCTGTTGCCAGGATGATGTTGTTTGTCAGTCCTTTTAACATACTCATGGTTCACAGAATCCACCATCAATCTCGGTTCCTATTCTCTGTAGTGATTGGTCAGGTGCGTGGAGCTATGACAACAGGCAGGGTTTGAACCTTTCTCTCAAGCACCTTTTTTCAGTATATCGCTTTTCATACCAGCAGCTCGGTGTGATCTCATGAGTGCCTTCAACTAGAGACTGAATGTGTGTGCTGTTATTTGCAAAGCCTGTTTATGATGGGCTATGACTTTGCCTTTGAATGTGACCTTGTGACACATTTTGCAACCTACTTCATTTGGAGCACACCAAGGCCTTAACTCTTCCTGTCAGTGAGCTGTAGCTGCCTGTTAATCAGGAGGGTGATGGGAAGCCTATGTTTTCATGTTCTACCATCAATAAATGTTAGGTACTGGCAAAGGCTTGTAAATATAGACTATAGAATATCATATGTGCCAGTTTTCACTGGTTTTACAGTGGATGTGGCCTTTCAGGTTTTTCTAAAGAATTGTATTGTTTTTCAACAAATAATTTGTGGTTTGAGATAAAGTATGTTGTGACTGTGACAATTTTGTGGTAAGGTATGACCGCACTACTAAAAGGTCAGTAAAATGCAGATTAAAGTGACTGTTTTTGATGATGTGCTGCCTGTTTGCTTAATACAGTGAATTTATTTTCTCATTTTGTTTCACTGTATGACACAGGGAAAATGTGTTTTAGGGGTTAATTTGGGGAATAATTTGAAGTTACAGCTTATTTGGTTATTGTTTGCCCTTCCATATTGATGACAGTGAAAGTCAGAGGGCATGGGTGCTCCAGGGAGCAGGGTTTGGTGTTGAAATGCCTTGGGTGCGGGACTGACTAGGTGAAATTGCTGCAGCCATTAAGGGAACACATGATGACAAGTGCTGAATTTGATTGGTAACATTTGGATACCCCTGCTACTTATTATTCTCACTTTGTGAAAAGTGGTAAAATATAACTGATTGCTCCTTTAGGACCCGACCACCAATTGCAATGACAACATGTTATACTGTATGTAACTAACTACATCCAACAATTAAAGCAACTTGAATCTTAAAGAATGATTATCAACAATGAAGCTAGATTTGTTTATACAAAGTATAAAATGAAAATGACATGAACAAACATTTCAAATTAGTCATCACTATATGACAATTAAATGAAAATCCACACCCACTCATTAACTTTGATAATACCCTGGATGCATATGGTTTGTTAAAGTTGTTTTTATCTGCCAGTTTATTCAAAGTAATTAGCTTGTGCTAGTTTGTCTTAATATAACTTGTACACCCTTGTCGTACTTTCTTGGAAAACAATAATGCAAGATACTCTGCACATCTGACAGATGCAGCACGTGTTTAAAGCAGGGAGCAGGTATGTATATACTGTACAGCACACTTTAAATAACCACTGCTATTGTAAGAAAATATGAGGGAATATATCACATTGTAAAAATCTCTGTGCTTTGCTTTACAGTCACTCCACAAGCAAATTTCTGACTCTGTAAAAAGAGGAGAAATCTCTTTCCAAACTGTGAATGTTGTCTTTACTCCAGTTTTTTTTTTTAGTTACATGAACAAAAGCATTGTGATGAAATATTGAAATGTACAGAAAGCATACAAAATCACATGTACATCTTATAGTTGTTTTAACTGTAGCTGAAGCCAAATTTGTTAAGATGCAAAAGCTTTGTAATATCTACAAATTCACATTTATTAACTTTTCCTAATTTATTATTCATCTTCTTTGATTTATATTCAGTTTGGAAGTGTGTCGTCTGGGCAACACTTCTGAAAATGCTGACTTTCCATCTGAACATTAATCAAAACTTTGGCACATTCAGACAATTATATGTCAAAACACATTTAGCCGTCAGATATTTCAGAGCAATTCCAATCAACTCTGCATTATAACAGCTGACATAGCTCATCTGGCCTGTAAACTTAAAATGGTCATTAACTCCACAGCACCCACTGATTGATGTGTCCAAATATTTATGGTGTCAGAATAAATGAGAATAATTTACTGCTCTGGGTAGTGCAAATCATTTTGTCTTAACTGTGATACTGAAACCTGCTGTCTAAACTGTGATTAGGATTTGATGTGATAGCTCCATAGCGCCTGTCATCTATCTCCTTGAAGCAGTTTGTTTAGGACATGAGAACAGGTGTCTCTGTCTACAATGTGATCGAGCTATTCTCAGTCCAAACTGAAGCATGTTCCTTGGTTATGCACTATATTAGTTTTACACAATATCACCATAACGTGAGAGAAGGGTTGTGGCTGCCAACAGTGTTCTTCAGTGGTAGGTTTATCATTCTGTGATGATTCTGCCCAGGGGCTCTGTGCAAGCTTGACATCTCCCATGAAGGTTATAGTGTAGGTGAGCAGAAAAGAAGCCCACTGAAACCCAAGTGATTCCAAATGAGCCCAAAATCCCACAAACCGGGCTTGAGTATGTTTTTCATGTCGTTTGATGTCCTTTTACAAATCCATGGTCTTCAAATTCTTCTTCTTCACTCAACTGTGTCCAAGTTTAAAACAAAAAACAAACTAACAAAACAACTATGGGACAAGTGTCTCTTTTTGCTTGGAAAAGGCTGACTGAATACCACCATCCTTGTAGAAAGTGGCTGACCTTGTTGTGTAACAAACTGTGCTGTAACTCATCATCCAGCTGTCAGCAAGCATGGTGCTCTGTAAGGCTCATTTTGGATTGATATTTTAAATACAAATGAAAAAGTTTTCTCTCTGATTTGATTTTTCCCCTTCAAAATACTTGTTTGTCACTAAAATGGATGGATGTACAGGCATACATACAGCATGTACAGACCTTTGTCATTTCTTCTTCTTAGAAGAAATGACAAAGATCAGTGTTTCACCCTTTTATCCTCTGTTACACATTCTTCACCCTGGCAGAGTCAGCTTGCTCTATTACAGCACTCTCTCATGTATGAGCAATGCATCCTTTGCTTGACAGTACAAAAACCTTCATGTGTTTCTTTGTCCTTGTTGCATCACTAAAAGTCCTGCACTCTTGTACTTTGGTTTTTTGGGAAGGCAAATTATGAGCTGGGGATTTTCTGTTTTGCAATCGTGTTTTACCATTTGGTTCTGGACACATTCACCAAATTTACTGTCACTGTCTTTGTAAGGCTTCTTTTGCTGTGTGATAAAACATTTCACATTATAATCACAACTTTAATTGAAAAGTAAGATTGGAGTGAAGCCTTTTCATTATCTTTAAGTGTTCCTTTGGATGTCCAGTACACCAGTCAAATTGGAGAGAACACATGACTTTTCTTTGAGACTAACTTTTCATGTAAAGATCTCTTAAAACTCTGTTGTGGAGATCTGTGTAACCTCCGATTGCAGATCTTGCTGGATCCTCCTCGAGCGAGAGCTGTGTGGGACCCAGTCCATGCCTAGTCATGTCGGATTCTTCCCTGCTTCTGTTGGAGCGCAGACGGACACGGGCTCCCTGGTGGTGTTGCGACCTCTGGTCAGACTGCTCCGTTCCACGCGAGTCTTAGAGGGGAGGCAGAAATCCCTGAAGCATCGCTTAAAATTTTCATCCAAAAATGCATAGAGTACAGGGTTGAGGCTGCTGTTGGTGTAGCCCAAGGCAATGCACACATGCCAGCTGGCGATCACCAAGGGGTTCTTGTTGTCAGTTTCTACCATGGTCTTCACGATGATGAAGATGTGGATGGGGGTCCAGCAGATGATGAAGGCAGCTACCACCACCAGTACCATGCGGGTTATGCGGCGCATGTTGCGGTCTTTCTCTTTGGAGCCAGAGAGCAGACGAACACTCCTCAGACGCAGGATCATCAGGCCATAGCAGATGGTGATGACCATCACGGGAACCACAAAGGCAAAGATGAAGACGCAAATCTTAGTCACTGTGTCCCAGTACCAGTCAGGGTCAGGGAACTTCAGCATGCACATGATTTTACCTGGGAAAAGGGTCAGGTAGGATTAGACAAAAACAGTTATTGTAGGGTAACAGGTCCAAAAAACTGCCTTGAACCAGTGATAAGAAATAAAATATTGTCCTTGGTTTTGAAGGGGAGTTCAGTGGTTTCCAATCAGTCTGAAAATCTACAGATTGTTTGGGGTCATAGGTGTGAATCATCCTTATTCTTGCTTTTCCTTTGTCTGCTATGTAAGCTCTCAGGATCAAACAAATTGGACAAATAAAGGCAAACTGTTCTGATCAAAGTATAATGAAGGGCTTTTCAACTGTGAACTGTGTCTGTTCTCCAGCACTGTGGTGAAAATTCAGTTGGTGTGGGCCACACAAACTGAAGTCACAGTTAACACTAAACGCTGAGACTTTAAATAAAAGTGAAAGATAAAAACGTGGTAGAACAAACAGTCTCACCATTATCTGCCTCTTTGGTCACAGCCATGATCATAATGGGCACACCAATCGCTGAAGACAGCACCCAGATGAGCACGTTGATAACCTTAGCCTTGGCCGGCGTACGAAACTCCAACGCCCTGACCGGATGGCACACGGCGATGTAGCGGTCCACGCTCATCATGGTGAGCGTGAAGATGCTTGTGAACATGTTGTAATAGTCAATGGCGATAATGAGCTTGCACAAGACCTCCCCAAACGGCCAGGTGTTCATAAGGTATTTGGCACTCTGGAAGGGCAGTGTGCTGGTGGCTAAGGCGTCGGCAAGAGCCAAGTTGAAGATGTAGATGTTTGTGGCCGTCTTCATCTTAGTGTATCTGGTTGTAATCACAGAGCAGAGAAAAGGTGTTTGCAATAAGCAGCAGTGGTAATGAGTCTTTGTTATGGGATAGGGAGATTTGTGTGTGATATTCATTGTTCAGCATTTATTGCTTACAGTAGGCTTAATTCCCTCAAGCTACAGATGTGAAGCGTAGAGCTGTGAAATTCTCATTCTTCACAGCTTAAATCTTTTTTTTTTTTTTAATGACTGATTAGAAAAGGGTTACAGTGGTTTGTTGACTTCTGATCAAGCAGCCTACTTGCAGGGAAAGCACCAGAGGGTTATGAAAAGAACACACCACTGCTATTGAATGGAGGTTCATACATAGTATGGGCTGGAGCCTGCTTTTAACATGGGGCTGTGCATTTTTCTTTTGTGAGTGTGAGATGAATTTTTTTCTTTCATATGGGAAAAAATAATGTTCAACAGCACTGGATTTGTTTTATTTGGTTGGTTTATTTGGCTTACTCGGTCAGAAATTATCCTCTTGGAGATATCGCTTATTTTTACACAAACATCTCATCAGAAACCTTGCAAAATGTATTTATACTGCATATAAATCTCAGTGGATTTAGTTTTCTATTCTACTCAAATACAATCTAATATACTAAAGGCACAAAGGACAAACAAGGGACCAAACAAAGTTCCAAATTTCATTAAAATATACTGTATTATAAGTGTTTCAGTGTTGTATAAATATATTAGGCTAACATATTTAATTAAACATACCTTTCTTCTGTTCTATTTTTGAGAGATACGGAACCAGTGGCATTAGATTACATGACATCTTGTGTAGCTGGCATTTTAATGGGAAAATAACATTCATATTAGCGGTTCAATCTTTACTGCTTTGTTCCATTAGATTCCACTGAAACCTGCTGTCTAAATGGAGATGTGTATTGATTTTACCTCTGGTCATTTATCACAAAGGCTGTATGGATAATAGCATGCTGATGGGAGGGGGGCTGCATTTTTGCAACAAGGAGCTTCACTTGTAGACAAACCCCCCCACACAAGCTCATACAAAGACTCCATTGAGTCAGTGGAAGTAATTAAACTGATTAAAGGCTTGCTACTTGTTCACAACAAATGGTGTGTATTAAATTAGTACCATGTTGTAAACTTCAAATATCTGCTCCAACTTGGGCAGTCATAAAAGTAAATTACTAGTGACTACAATAAGAAGTAATCAATAGAAAAAGCTACTTTCTATTGATCGTGAAATAGAAAATAGATGTGTAAATCCATTTATCTGCATCTCTGATGGCCAGCCAATCGGTGTTATTTTACATAGAGATGAGCCTCTGTTGTGAAAAACTCTTTGTGTATATTTGGATTTTTCAAGCCAAGAGATTTGGGTGCTACTTCATTACAGTATTTAGCCCAATAAAGCCATTTAGACCAGACAAACACACTTGTTCTGTTTCTGACAGTCTTCAGAGTGAATCCACACTTGTTCCTCATGTCCCTGTTAGCCCTCTTCTGTCTGCTTAGCCTTGCTGTCACAGCCTCTTATCAAGAAAATGCTAATTATTCAGCCACTTTTGTGATGATAGGAACTAGGTATCACTGAGATAATTCTCCAGTTTGATGCAGTTAAGTTATCAGAAGAGGGTGCAATGTCAGTGAAATTAATGGAGTACCATCCAAACTTAAAACAATGACATGATGGAACTCATATTTCTGCTTGATTTGTGTCTTAATTTGAGGAAGGATAGTCTCATCTTCCCACATAGATGTGATGGTGGAAACCTGAGAGATGTTTAAGTCACATGCTTCATGTAGGACATCATTTCTTCACTAGATCTGTTTCAGTTCCACTTTGTCACGTTCACCTCAGCTGAATGTAAAAACATTCTGCGATATTTTCACTTTATCAGATTTCCAGGGTTTCTACTCAGGTTTTTAAATTAAAAATGGATGGTTGGAAATACAAATTGTACGGGTCTGCCATTTCAAATCATAAAAAGAAATGGCCTCAACCGTTTAGTCACTTAGGGGAGCAAAGAAATTTCCCTCAAATTCAACTGTGGTTAAGAGACGCAAATTCACACCAACTCCAAACTGTAACTTAAGCTACTTTAAGTAAAAACCTTTAAGTATCATGGCAAAAAGCCTGTAATGTGGTTTCCAGTCAGTCACGATAACGAATACTGTGAGAAATGTTCTTTACTTGTTTATGTGTTGGACTGCAAATCTGCTAGAGTGCAGAGTAGCTTCCTTGAATGCTAGCAGATAATACAGATAGTCTGTTGGTTTCCAGTGCATCATTTAAAATGTAAGAACTGGCAAAAAAAACTTCACTGTTCCAATTTCAGTAGTGACCTCATAGATCTGTGACATATTCTCTTAAAGTAAAACTGACTTAGTCCTTCATGCCATGCTTGTGCACATGAATCCTCTTGTCTTGTCTTTCCAGTTGTCTAACAGTTTGCACAATACTGAGTTCATAGACAAGGTTGGTATCTAGACTAGGATTTGGTCCACTGATATAGACTATTAGGAAAAACTGTTACGGTTAAGTAGGACCCAATGTGCTGACACACGAGGCAAGGGAAGGTTCAGGTAGGGCTTTATTAAATGACAGAGAACAAGACTAATGGGGAAAAACTTATAGGCTCATCCTGATAGGGACAAAAAGACTTCCAAAATGCTAAACTAAACAGTAGGTCAGAGAGCAGGGTAAGAAACTAAAGCAAGACTGGAGAAACTAACGAAAAGAACTAACAGGCCAGGATCACAAACACAAAGGAACGAACAGGAGACAGCGTCAAACTTACAAGAGTACATGAACAAGCAGGGCATGGCGAACGGAGATAGCAAGCAGAGGACAGGGGCAACAAGGTGCAGAAACAAAATGAACCAGCAACCAAACTGAGGGAAGGAAGGAGGATATATAGACAGGTAACCAGAGGATAACGAGCAGCAGGTGGAAACCATGAAGGGTGATTGTAAACCAGGGTAAAGCTGGGGCAGGTAAGCCAACACAGGACAGGAAGATTTTCATTAGTGGATCCATTATTCAGTGCCAGCTGCAGCATTAGTCTCTTATCATCACTGTCAGCTGTCTCTGTTCTGTGCAGCTCAAGGAAAAGTCAACAAGCCTTCCTAATCTGATGACAGAAACATGCTTGCACCAATGTACTATTTGGGAACCAATATGATGACAGAAGAAGTAAGAGGAACAGTTGTCAGCTACAGGTAGGTACTGCTATTAAAAATTTAATTTGTTTATAACAAACAAAGCAAAGTGGCACAATAAAATGTTTGCCATCCTGTTTGCAGTGGACCCATGGATATAGAAAAAGTATTGCTGCATTCCTTTGATACTGAAGAAAATGTAAAAATGTGATGATTTTCTGGCAATTTCTGAACTGCTTTTCTATGATTTCAAAGTGGATTTATGGATGTTTATTCACTCTAGACATGAGCGGTAATGAAATCCTCAGGAAGTACAGTGATATCAATGTAGTGCACAGTATGTTCAGGACTGTTGTGTCTCAGAGGAGTGCGTGTCCATGTCTGGTGCAGACCATGTTCTTTAATGTCCCAGTGGTTAAAATGGTGCCAGACTTATATTAGATCATTTTTCAACCTAGGCACCAGGACACTGAAGTTAGCAGCAGAAGGTCTGCTCTCAAAATTCCATTGTATATTTGGCCACCCTACTCCAAAGCCTGTATTAGGATTCACTTACAGCAAAGGAGAGCAGGGAGGTTTTGAAGGTTTTGTGAGGGCTGTCTGTAAATCAAGAACAATATGAATGCAAGATGAAAACCACCTCCTTCTTAGATAAGAGATAGGTGTAGACATAAAATGGAATCAGATATAGGAAAGGAACCTGTTGGGGTTTTGGATCACAGCCATCTTACGAGACAAAAATAAAACTATCAATATCACATCAGACAGCAAACACAAGCTTAGCTTTACATCTCAGTGTTTGAAGCCTTTGAATCAGCACCTAAAGCCTCCCTTTTGACAAGGGGAGAGGACTCTACTTATCTTAGAGTCACTTTTATAATTGAACCATAATTAAATGACAGTCCTCTCCTCAATTTAAGATGATGGGCTCACACAGTGTATCTCACTACCACTTCTTCCCTCCCTTGAGTAAGCGAGTGTCTGGGTGAGTGGACCTCAGTGATCTACCATCCAGTCATATATTATGAGCATGTGGAGATTGGAAATGTAATGGTAGAAAGAGGGTTAATATATTCTAACTCTGCAGCCTTTCACTGTAGGTTCAGTTTGTACACTGTGGTATGGTCAACCGGTAGAAGTCAAATCCTGGCACATGGAAATGGAAAAGCTTTTACATTTCCATCTTCCTTTTCAGAGGTTTGGACAAGCAATATGTCACAGTATGTTTGGGGGGGGGGGACTGAACTCAACACATGATTTGATGGCTTCCTTGCCTTCATTTCCTTGCAGTCACCAAAGCACACTAGGTAAATATTAAAAAATATGACAGGAAGCCCAAACCTCATTACTATAAATAAAACAGCCAAAACTCTCAGTATTACACAATGCAATTTAAGAGCACCACAAACAACACACTGTCTTAAACTGTTTGAACAAAAAAAGGTTACAGCCCTCATGCCATTTATTGCAGGGCTTTTGAATTGGATTGCATTAATCTTAGCTGCAGGACTTGATAAACTGGGAACTAAGTGTTTGTTTAGTGACTGATTTGAACATTCGTTCCTTCAGTTTGTCACAGTGTTCCCTCAGTAGGCCACTGTGGTTTATGTTGTCTCTACTTCTAGGTTTATTCACACCTGCCAAACATGTGAACTACATTATCCACCTAAAGGTTCAGAGAATACAGGCAGTATGTACAAACCATGGCTGTATGTTACAAACATTAAACAACACAACCTTACTTAGTGAACCTGCCCTATTTGCAATTTAAGCAAACACACAGATATCCTGCCCTCCACCAACACACAATATTACCCAACACCTGTCAATCAAATGCATTTTGCTGCTGTCTCTTTTGAATACTGTTTTGTTAAACATGAACAAATCTTTACCTATATATAGATGTAAACTAAACTTTCACCAGAGACAGGAGGCTTGTTGCCACCAAGTCGGTGAGGCAACATGAGCCCTGTTTTTCAGCTGATATTTACATTTCTGCAAATTAAAGTGTGCCAAGTTTGTTACGACCAGTTCCTGTTTACAGTGTCCATATAATAGACATGAATAAATTTGACACTGAAGAAAACATATTAATGCTGAAGTTATAAGTGTCCTCTTTCTATGATGCGTTTATGGATTTTTATGTGCAGGGGACATCTGAGGTATTGACATCCAGACAAAGTAACTAACACTGCATCTAAAATGTGCGGCATGGCTCTGTGTTCAGATTTGATCCCAAAAGGCATGATTTTGTGCATTCAGGTGTTGTAAAAACAACAGGAAATCAATTGTTGTAGTTTAATCTGCTGATCAACAACAGAGTCGGTTAAGATAGGCTACTTGAAAAGCCTTAGCACCTGACTGCCACACTTTAAGAGCTCAGCCAAAGTGTAGCATAGCTCTCAGCTGCTTTCATTTTGTCAAAGTTGCTCTCTGAGGACAAACAGGTTAGAGACCTCTGTTATATATTGTTCATTATGGAGTAGTACACGAGTCAACTACATCACTGAAGGTGCTCTAAACAGTTTTTCTTTCACTGAGCATATGCATTGGCCCTAATGGAGATTAACAGTGGCTCTCAGCGAGGCTCTTACCCTGCAATCTACCTACCCCCATTTTTAGAACCTGCTGGTAGACCACCAAGGATGAGGCAGTCGGCCAGCATCTCACACAGCAGGCACAGATTAACGGTGTGAAACCAGCACAGATGCTGTAGTTCCTGCTTTCAGGCTGAGATTATAATAGACAAAGTCAGATCAGTTCTACACTTCAGCCAAAGAGGTTACATACTGTACATAGCTGAAGAACCTAGTAAGAGACCTATAAGGAGTTCTCCCAGTTTGTTTTACGTGATACATGTCCCTCCCCTAAAGAAGACTGCAAGATGTGATTGGAAAAAAAAAAAACAATCAAACTTTGTTTGAAAACCAAAAGTTTACACAATGACAGCACATTTAAGGAGGAATAAAATATTTTAAAACATGAATACAATCAAATAAATGTATAAATAAAATAATGGGCATAAATCTTTCAAAGGTCAGGCTACAGAGGAATCCACACTGAGTGTCATAGAAACTTTTATGATTTCTACAAAGATAAATGCTCACTGTGTGTAGCTACATACATCTGTGTCTTCTTTAAGCTGCCTTCAGAGTTAACTGATGTTTCACAGGAGACAATACATTCTGACTGGGATGGTTAATGTGCTTGACTTCCGTCTGCCTCCATCTCTAGTCTGGCAACACTGGTGACTTCTTCACACACACAGACACAAGGTGGATCACTGCACAGTATTTGGTTTACTGCCTTTTCCCAGCTCTCATCCATCTACTCTGCTTTCGCCTCACCTCTCTCTCTCCCTCTTTGTTTTGCCATATGTGCCTTGTTTTGCTATTGTTTTTACTCTAGGTCCTGAATGGAGATAATGTGCAGAGTTGTAAATAAGTTATAACATTTTTGGGGTTCAATATCTAAAACCTGCCACTAGCAGAAAATGACTTGCTAGTGGCATTTCTTATATTGAGCTCCTTTCTTTTCCTTGCCTGTACTTTTCTCACTGCATTAACATAATAGCAATACTTTGGACTGTATCTTATTGCATACATCTTAACCTGTCATGTCAAAAACAACAACTGACCTTGATTCTTCATTTCCATTTAATTGCGGTGTCTTTCTCTGCTTAAATTAGGCCATATCAAATTAACTCTACCTACTTGTTTAATTTGCTGGTCCAGCTGGGACTAATTCATGCTTCAGGTGATATGGTGGAACATGTGTAGAGAATGTCTGAGATTAGTTGGTAATTAATGGTAAGGTCAAGCAGAGCAGATGGAAACTATATTAGCAATTTTATTCCTGAAAAATACACAGGTTAGGGCTGGGAGACTTCTTGGGAAATGACAGTGGCAAGGCGGGTGTAGGCTTTATCGCAATGCTTTTAGTGCTGAAGGGGAAAGGCAAACTGTGACCTCAGACGGGCATTTATACTGTAAACAACCACTAATGGACAAAATCAATTTACCCTTGAAAAAAGCAACTCTTTAACCCCGATCGACCACACTTTTAAAGTTTAAAAACACTAATAAGTTTTAAAGCAAAAGACAGAATTGTAAAAAAAAAAAAAAAGGGTTTATCATCTCCTTCGTTCCTGTTTATAGTCCAATATGAAATTAAACACATTGCACACACTTTCATTTACAAATCAAATAGAAAGATCCTGACTGCAGGATGTTCTATGGGAGCCCTTAGAATCCCATCTAACCCAGTGAATAGGAGTGCACAGCTGATTGTCACATATCTGTGGGAGCTAATGGAGACTCATTTTGAGCAGCCCTCTCTGCCTGAGGCGCAGCTGAGTCACTCTGAACTGAGAAACAACATCTGAGACCAGAGGTTCAACTGGCCCCTGGCTCTTTGTGGCGCAAACTTGTTTGGTGCAGGAATAGTGAAAGGACACTATCAAGTCTCCTTAGATCACTTGATTGGGATAGATGTAGATTTTGCACACATGCAGCCACGAGTGCATGGAGGCTCTTTCTCACACCCACAAAGAAACGAATGTGTCTACAAGAAGACAGAGGTTTATAAAATACAGGCGGTACAATTAGAGCTGGGACACTTAGAATAATGAGAACATACAGTATGTACTAAAATAGATCTATTTGGGATCTTTTTATTCATTCTTACAAATTTCTGCACAAAACTATAAACTTCCATGTTAAGGGTAATAAATAAATCCCACCTTTGTATGGGAAAAAAAACCTCTCAGAATGAAACAGCTGTTTGGAGGGTGTCCTTTTAAGAAAGGGTGCAATTAAAAAAGCAAACTAACACTATTTAGATTGTGTATCAAAATATACACACAATGTTTAAAATGTGGGGTCATCACTATGTGGTAGTAAGCTCTCATAAGATCATGGGGGTGTATTTCAGGTTCCATTTGGGCTCTGTTGCTCTTATCAAGCCTCATTAGACTTTTAAAGGAAGTGACATAGTCAGTAAAATGACTGGAACAGCAGAAAAGTGACAGTGTTTACCTGATCACCCCGTACATGACGAGGATGTTGCCCAGAAGTCCTACCATGCAAATTACGGAGTACAGAGCCGTGATGGATATGGCTATGATCATACCTCCGGCGCTCCTCACCGGACCCTGCTGCTCGGTGTGGTTCTGCAGCCGGTCCCCCATCAAACCGCTCTCCTCGTCCGGGAAGGTGACATTGAAGGGGATGACGGAGTAAAGGTCGGACAGGGACAGGCGAGCTCCCGGGACTGTGTAAGGCTCCATGCTCCGCTGCAGCTCCGCAGCTGTCCCCTCTGACCGTGGTGCTGAAAACTTGCTCTCACAATTATGCACGGGAGCTTAATGATCTGGAACGGAAAAACGCATCTGAGGCAGAAAGGGAAGGAAAAGAGTGGAAGAATTTCCAAAAATGTGGAGAAGCAGAAAGTCTGTCTGAAAGAGCTGAGGATGTTTCTCTGTTTTCTATCCAGATGGAGGAGGAGAAAGTGGCACCTCAGCAGCCAAACGCTGTGTGCATGTGTGCGCCTCTTATACGCTCCATGACCCTCACCTCACAGCCCGGGCGCCTTCTTATAGCTCTACGTCAAGGCTGCGCATGTAAACGGTCATAGACGTCAACGGGGAATGGGCGCGCCAAGAATGCCAATCACTCTTACCTGTAATATTTGGTTAATAGTTTGGTGTTCAGGATAAGCAGTGAAACCACCAGAGATGAGTATTTCATGGTAACTGATACAAACAAGAACCATCTACTGTACATATCCTACAGTTAAAGGCGTGTCTACTTACAAGCTGCGCAAATAATCGACCCAGCTTCCAGCAAACAAGTCCAAAATCAATAAAGATCCTGTTGAAGTAATTTAGGGATGTGCGCGACGGAGAAAAGATTCACAAGCCTATCCTTACACAAGACTAAACAAGTACCCCATTACATCTGAGAAGACAAACTGCAGCATGTCCAGTAGCTTTGTTATATCACGTGATATTCACCAGCAGCAGATGGAATTTGCCCTGTTTTCAGGGAAATGTATATGGTCAGAGGAATAGTCCATGTTAATTTAACCTTTTTGCCACTTTGATGCAGCTGAAATGTGTGAATCCATCACTGACAGTGCTCCACTATGTTTACCATCTAGACTGCGTGTCTGCCTACCTGCTGTTTGGTCAGGCTGTGTAGCTGCAGTGGGGTTTTGGAGTTTTGTAGCTACAAACATCTGCCCGCTGTGGCCTAAAATGATGTTATGAGAGCAGAAAGAGAACCAGTAAAATTAATGCTGCAGGCCTGATAGCTAGCAATAATCTGAAACCAGACTGTACATAAAAATGCATCACCACTTCCTGCCACCAAGTAAAAGTAAAGCCAAAACAATGTGAAATCAGGGGGCTTCAGTCTGGCCTTTGTGACACATCCGGGAACCATATTGTGTGCAGTAGCCTAGTGACCTGAGGTGGAGCCACGGTATCAGGCTGCCAATGAAAGTGGTCAATAATCTGAAATACACCCCATTTCATATTATCAAGTCACTTATTAAAATGAAAAGATTAAATGAGCCTTCCTGGTCCAGTCTGTGCATTAGCTACCTATGTGTCCTTACACTCAGTGCTTTAACACATCACATCTCCTCTACACTGTCTAACTGGAGGATTGATCATCAAAACGATTTAGAGCTTCAGCCAAACAGTAATTGCAGTGAGGCCTCCTGAGAGGACAAATGTTGATTGATTCTGGACACTTTCCACTTGCTCATCAACATTTACCTGTTGGCTCTGATGAGCCCCATGGGAAATGAAAGACTGGAATTCAACACTTCAGACTGATCACCCATTTGAACCCATCTGTCCCCAATTTAACCCCTCCCTTTGGTCCTAGTCCTTGCATCCTACATCTCATGTAACTACAGCATCTGCATAAGCTGATCACCTTCACTGCCTTTCCAGAACAATTCTGGAGTGAGCCTGAGTGTAACATCACTTAACCCTGTTCTACTATCACAAGGTAATTGAACCAGTTGTTTTTCCAGTAAGTCTTTTCTGCAATTAATTAGTTCAGTTTTGCTCCCTGTACTGTACTTTTCATTTGCTTTACACTCCATGCAACTCCCAGAGCACCGTCTTCCCAGAGATATCACCTCTGTTCTTCATTGCCGCTAATAGACGTCTCAGACAAACAGTATTGACACTGCAGGACAGGCAGTCAGAATTCTTATGCCCACTCTGTGATGACCGAGTGATCACTAACTGAAATCCCCAGGCTAGATGGGAAAAGCTGACTTATAAAAACTGAAAATTGGAGGAAGGATAAACTATTTACCCTATGAGCATGTGACTTGTTGATGAACCCTTAAGCAAGGCACTTAAATCTCAGTTTGCTGTTTATTAGATCACTCAGCTGGCCTATCATGCTTTGGATTTCTCCACACGCTGCAGCAGTGTGCACAGCCTTATATTGTAGCCTTTCTGGAATCAAAACAACAAGAGCCAAAGTGGAAGAATGGAGTAAGCTGTGTGTGTCAACTATTCTAATGTAAGCTGCAGATTTTAACATGTCTCACTAGCTTGTTTACTAGAGAGGCCTACAGTAATAACTGAGGGTCACTTTCATGGCCAAGAAGCATACATATAGCACATCCACATCCTGTTATTTGGAATAGGGCTGTCACTTAGCTGTAGCGCTAAAATCTCGGCTGCCATTTGCAGCTGTGAGTCCTCAGATTCCCAGCCACTATACTGGAAGGCAGTTGCTTTTTGCCAAGTTTCTAAACTGTTGTTTCTTTGCTGGAAATGTTACCATCGCCAGAGTAGAACCAAAAATATTTCAACACTCTGGTTCTCAGATGCTTCAGCATTGTAGATATTTGGTTGTCCATGGAACTGAAGTAAACATTTACCAGAAACAGGAAGCATGTAGCGATTTATTCAATGAGTTACACTGTGGCCTGCAACATGGGCCCTGTTCAGCCAATATTTGTTTACATTTCAGATGTATAATGTACAATGTATAAATAAGAAAAATGCAAAGCATAATTTCAGGCAGACTACACATAGCCTACTATGCATTCCCAACATATTGTGCACTCTGTACACACACGTGCATACGTGCACACGCAGACTGACAAAAACAGACTGTACATTCTTTTTGAATGAAAAACCAAACTATTTGAAGAGGGAGTTACATTTGCTCTAGGTGCAGTACACTTGTTCCATCAATGCACTTTTTCTTCATGCTGACACTAACCTGCTAACTAGGTAATATTCTGACCCTCATGTACCCGGGGAGGAGGGGAGGACAGAAATATAGACACCTCTATAACATAGTCCAATACACCATCACCTTTAACTATGACCTCAATAAGAAACAGAATTGAATTTATACATTTATGACAATTTCATCAAAAACAAACATTTTGAGCTTTGTAAACAATGATAAGGCAGAAGTGTTGTACTGAAGTGCAGACAATTGTACCTAATAAAATGGCCAGTGAGTGCACATAAGGAGAAGAGCAGGATGTGGTTAGCTTATGTAGCAATGACAGGTAGACTTGCATTAGTTCTTTCAAACCACTCTTGGTAGCAGGATGTGTTTATTCCAATACTGTCAGCTCAGGGGCTGCAGGACTTTGTTTTCTGTTTTTAATTATGTTACTGGGACCTGTCTGGGGCATTTCACCTCAGAGGTTAAGAGCAACACACATGCATACAATTTTGATAGAAATTGTGGCAGTCGGGCACTAGGAGATTTAAAACAACCTTACCTATTTCCATTATTCATCATGTTGATAGTAGCCAAGGCTACAATAACCAACTCCCCTGATACTAAAATGCACCGAATCTTGACACTGATACGATGACTGATGTGAATTCAAAATGTTTTTGATACAGAATTAATATTTTATAACTGTTAAAGTTGGCGTATTCAGCTGACTGGTGTGGAGATCAGTTTGAGTGTTTCAATACTGCAACATACTGTTTTATCATGTTTCTGTTCTCGAGGTGGTATGTCCATTTTGGGTTACCGTAGGCTGGAGTGTTGCTGGCAACATGATGCTCTGGTTGGGTATACGAACAGAGAGAGAAGCAATGATAACTTGCTCCTGGACTCCATCTCCTTAACTTGTCTGTTGCCTACTTATTAAAACTGCCCAGTTAGGCGAACACAAGGTGTTCAGTTACAATGTAATGCAACTAATACAAGACATGAGTAGCTCTCTTCTGTTTTCATTTTGTCCAAGTTGCTTTGAGACCCCTGCATTAGAAGTTTTAAACTTTTGCATAGCCTTGAATTGCATATTTAATACCTTTTAATGGAATTCCTGTCTGAAAATGAGTCTGGTCGGAAGATTAAAACATTGGCTGGAGATAGTGTTTTCAGTCCACTGGAACTAATGTTATCTTAGTCAAATTGGTAGGTATAGCTGACCAAACCTGCTGGTGAAAATTATAATCTAAACCAGAAAAATTAATCAGAAAAGAGAAGTCTGCTTTTTGTCTGGCTGAAATTAAGGACCCACTGTTTAAAAATTGATATGTGGCATGAAAGACAGGAACATTTGACAGCACGTAGCAGGGATGAGCAAAAGGTCAATTACTCCAATACCTGCTGATTGAATGAAAGGAGAGGAGTGTGGTTTAGTGTCTACTTATGAATGTCTCCATCAATATGTACACCAGGTAGTCCCTGAAAAGACAAATAAAATAAAAACATAAAAGCAACGTGGCCCCACACTGAATCCACACTCAAGTATTGCACAGTTCCTTTGTTGCCCCTGAGGGACAGAGACTTCCTGTTACACAGGCTTTGTAGCCGAAGGCGACAGGCAGGCATACTGAAGCAAAAACAAAACTCAACTGTTCAATCTGGGTGTGATAGCAGTTCACATCCCTTGTGGAATTCAATCTTTCTTCAAGCCCAAATAAGGCAGGACTCTGAAGCATCCAACTGAAGAACGGTCATTATGTAGTTTAGCAGAGGACAGATGTGCCCTGCAAACCCGAGGCACAGTCATGCAACTTCTTAAAAAAAAAAAACCTTGTATGTACAACAGGATTGTTATTGGGATTATACAGTGCAAAGAAAAAGTAAGCACACCCTTTGGAACTGCAACAGGTTTTTATAACTTGATCTTTATATGGTCACGTTAGCTAAGTAACAGTTAACTATTTCAGAGCCCAAGGCATGATCATTTTGTTCATTTCCAGCCAATATGTTTAATCTTGAGTACCTCTAGATTATCATGGCACCCCTCAACTCCAAATAGTCTGCAAATATTTCAGAACGATAAAACCAGAGAGCCTCTTCCTAAAATCCAAAGGATAGTTCATGAACACACACATCTCCTGCTGCTGGTGTTATCGAAAGTGGACAGCACAATGAACTGTAACGGCACTGATTTGAATTTCTCCTCCATACAAAGGTAAACAGTATATATACACACACTGATGAAAAGAAGAGACTTGTATAAACCAAGTTGCTTCTGCATGGATGTGCTAGAACATAGTACACCTCGTTTTTTGAACCTTAGGTCACATCTATGGCAATTCACTATTGTAACATTGTAGATAAGTCAAAACAAGGAAAGGCATGCCAAGACCTACTGAAGGTGGTTGGCAGAGGCAGGTAGGGTGAGACAGGCAAAGTGGAGCTGAGGCTGCGCCAGGGAGTAGAGGCAGGACCAGAGCCAGGCTGTGGCGAGGGGGTGCACAGGTGAATAGTGCTGGT